TATATCATTAGATGCAGAAAAGCTTTTGATAAAATCCAGCACCCCTTCTTGATAAAACCATCGAACATCTAGGCATATGGGGAACATACCTCAAAATAGTAAAAGCCATCTACGGGAAACCCACAGCCAGCATACTCCTAAATGTACAAAAATTGGAACCATTTCCCCTGAAACTGGAACAAGACAAGGATGCCCACTCTCACCCCTCCTGTTCAACATTGTATTGGAAGTCCTGACTTGAGCAATCAGAGAAGAGGAGGCAATCACGGGTATCCAGATAGGAAAAGAGAAAGTCATCTCTCTTTGCAGATGATATGATTCTGTACCTTGAAAACCCAAGAGAATCTGTCGAAAACCTCCTTACACTGATAAAGGCCTTTGGCAGTCTCAGGATACAAAATAAACATACAAAAGACAATCGCATTTCTCTACACCAATAATAAACAAACAGAAACCCAAATAAAAAACACAATTCCATTCACAATAGCCACAAAAAAATGAAATACCTTGGCATCTTCCTAACCAGAGACGTGAAAGTCCTTTACAATGAAAACTAGAAAACACTGCTCAAAGAAATCAAAGATGACACAAACAAGTGGAAAAATATCCCATGCTCATGGATCGGAAGAATCAACATTGTGAAGATGTCCATCTTACCTAAGGCAATCTACAAATTCAATGCAATACCCATGAAATTACCAGCAACATTCTTCTCAGACCTAGAAAAGACAACACAGGAATTCATATGGAAACACAAACGTTCAAGAATAGCCAGAACAATCCTCAGCAAAAAAAAAAAAACAAAGCAGGTGTTATCACATTACCAGACTTCAAACTTTACTATAAAGCTACAATCACCAAAACAGCTTGGTATTGGTACAGGAACAGGCATATAGATCAATGGAATAGAATTGAGATTCCAAAAGCAAAACCTCAATTTCTTAACCAACTCATCTTCGAGAAGGCCTCCACCGCCTACCACTAGGGAGAGGAGAACCTATTTAGTAAATGGTGCTGGGAAAACTGGCTGACCACATGCAGAAGATTGAAACAGGACCCCTATCTATCCCCATGCACAAAGGTTAACTCCAAATGGATCAGAGACCTAAATGTAAAACCTCAAACCATAAGAACCTTAGAAAAGGAAGGAAATACCCTCATGGAAATCGGCACTGGCATCCAATTCCTGAACAAAACTGGAAACCCACAGGTCATAAGAGAGAAGATAGACAAGTGGGACCTTATTAAACTCACAAGCTTCTGCAAGG